TTTTCCGTATAAGTGAGCGCATCTCCACAGTTGAACCACTTGGGTATGTATATTATATTTCTAAATATCGATTCATTGAACACTTCAAGACTCATCGAATGATTGTGTGATCATTAATTTGAACAGAAAATAATAAAATGATAATCTGAAAACAAAGACTATTTGCCACAGTTGCTGGAATAGCCAATCTTTGTTGATTTTCATTTAGATACTTCAATGCTATTGTTCACTTCGTATTGTGTATATAAAAAAGATATTTTGATTCACAAATTTGTTAAAAAACAAATTCTTTTTTCTTCTTCTTTATAATAATGTTGATGATTGACCGCTCGGAATTCCCGATATGATGCAGATTTATGTAATTGTTAAATATTCCCAGAAACAACTCGGAAAATGTTCGGTCGTAAAGCCTTTTTGATTGTTTCACACGTGCCTAAAATATTATTGCATGAAAAATACTCCACATAATTACAAAACGTTCAATTCTCATGTAACTGCTCATCGTTATTATTGACTGTCTTTTATTCCGTCTTTTATCAATAAAAGTGGCTCTTCGTGTCGATAAGATAATGTGATGAGTCGGTGTGAACCAGGTTTTAGATGATATAAAATCTATTTTGTCAAATGCAAACCAACAGTTCTGAGTCGATTGACGCAAGCGGTGGAAGCTCAATATAATTAGAAAATAGAACAAAATGTTTGTGTTTTTAGTCGGTTTATTAGTGACATCGGTCGCATTATATTTGTATTTATCGTGGGACTTTGATTTTTGGCGACGCCGAAGAGTAGCTGGGCCTGTTCCACGCGCTTATCTTGGAACCTTCCCAAAAACAGCATTGTTCGATAAAAATTCCAATTACATTCAAGAAACTACGGAAATTTACCGGTACTTTGAACACAAAACTGAAAATAATATTGTGAAATTGTTGATGGAGTTTTTATTTTCAAGGAAATATTTTCGAAAGCATCGTTTCATCGGCGTGTTTGAGTACCGCACTCCAAAATTGTTATTCTTGGACCCAGCATTAGTATCAAATATTTATACGAAATACTTCAAACACTTTGGCGATAATTCATTGAGCGATGTGGTATGTAGTGCATACTGTGTATAATCATTTAAATGATTTATCAAATGGATCGACAGTCGTTTTGCTGTTCAAATTGAAATACTTTGATAATCTTGTGTGATTAGATAACATGGCGAGCAGATCCGTTATTCAAGCCAAATCCATTTATCGAAAAACTGGCACAATGGAAGGAAAGACGAATGGAACTTGCACCCGCCTACTCAATGTTAAAGGTTCAATTCCTTGAAAATTATCGATTGAAATTGTTTGCCAATAAATTCGATACGTTTGCCTTCAGGTTAAAGCCATGTATTCGGCCACAGAAAATTCATGCCGACAATTGGAACAATATATTGGCAGTAAAATTGAATCGAAGCAAGCGATTGTGGCATCCAAAGATGTATGTATTCGAAACAATGAAACGATTCTCAGTCGTGTACAAGAATTCAATGAAACTCAATTAGTTTTCGAATGAAGATGAGAAACCGATATCGTTATTCCGAAGAATTAGACACTAGTTTCAAGTATTTTGAAATACGTTACAGAGCTATTCAATAAATGAAAACCTTTCTATTTTGTAGATATGCTCACGTTTTATAGCCGATGCGCTTTGCAATGTGATTTTCGGTTTGGATGCAAAAGCATTCGATGAAAAGTCCGATTTTGTAGAACAATCCCTTGGAATGTTCCACTCAACGCCGTATGACCACATTCGCTTTGCTGTCTACACAATATTTCCTTGGCTCGGTAAAATCTACCCCAATCAATTAACGTCAACGGAATTCACGAAATGGTTCAAAAATATGTTTGACCAAGCCGTTAAACTGCGCAAACAGAACAATATTTCGCGTGATGATTACTTAAACTATTTGATTGAAATGCGAAATAAGAAGAATACGCCAATGGATTTGATTTATGCACACGCCTTCACCTTCTTTTTGAATGGTTTCGAAACAACATCGTACATACTTGGCAATGCGGTGAATAATATCGCTCAACATAAAGAATGCCAAGAGAAATTACGAGCTGAGATCAAAAGCTATGATCACATCACTTTTGAAGAACTTCATCAGATGCCGTACATGGATGCTGTGGTCAATGGTACATTCCAGCTGAATCAGAATAATCACCATGACAGCAAATCATTCATCTTCTTAATGCTATCTTTCTAGAGACGACACGTATAAGCCCGTTTCCATTTCCAATTTGGAAAAATTGTACGGAGAGCATCGATCTCGAAGATTTCGATGGCAAAATAGTTCACATTGAAAAAGGAGTGAAAATTATTTTACCCATTAACGCACTTCACAGCCATCCTGATTATTATGAAAATCCGGAGAAATTTGTTCCAGTAAAAATCTCTTTTCAAAAGATTTCCTTATTAATTTATTTATATTTATTAATTAACTTATTTTTGTAAAAAAATTTTTAAAAGGAACGTTTTGATGAGAGCACTGGTGGTGTTAAACGGCTGAAAGATGCCGGGGTTTTCATGCCCTTTGGGAACGGGCCACGAATTTGCTTAGGTTTGTGCATTTCACGTTCAGACTAAACAATGTTTGGGTGAATAGGATTTTTTTTACTCGAAATGGAATATTCATTTGACACCCATAGAATGAAAAAAGAATTTCTGAACTCTTTGCCGATAAATGAAACGAAAAAAAACTTAGAGCAAAAAAGAAA